CACCACCTGCTGCCATGCCATTCCTTGAAGAACCATCTGTATTCAACTGCAAAATACCAAAAGGAGGAGGAGCCCATTTGATCCATTTTCCTTTAGGAATATTAGGGGAGACCATAGGGATATGCATTACWTGGAAACAAATAGAATCATGAAAACCAGAAGAATGAGTGGGATAATCAAGCTGCAATAAATCCTTACACCAGTGCTTGACTTTATTGATAATAGATGAAGAARACATAGCAACTGAATCATGAACAGATGCATTTCTAGCAAGCCAAATCTCCCAGCAACYAGAGAAGATAAAACTACCCTAAAAATCCCATTTTAGATTTGATAGAACTGCCTTGCAACCAGGTCTTAGTGAAAGCAGGCATACTATCTTGAACAAAACTAGCATTAAAGAACTCCTTTCAAATAAGACCAAACCTAAGAGGCTGTTTCACCTTGACAAAACAAATGAAGTAAAGAATCATGTTGACTTCTAATGCAGAAATTCAATTTATAAGGCATTTGAAAGCCCATGTATCTGAGCCTGTCATCCATAGGAAGAGCATTCCTGAGGAATCTCCAGAAGAAGAGAATAAACCCATATTAGGAGGAAGCCACTGGTTCCATAATAGAGACCACCAAGGACTTTTCTGGCCATGAATTCCGGAAAAATGCCAATAGGAAGCAAAGGAGAAAAAGACCTGAAAACTAGTCTATCTGGGATGTCAGAATCTAGAGAGATATCTTACAAAATAGATTGAGCCTTTGTGGATAAGCTAGGCAGAACTAAGGTAGAAAAATAAGCAGATTGAATAACTTCTCTAAAAGGAGTATTAAAATCCACATTCTGCACAGAAAAAGCACCAGCACCCCATTAGCCATGCTAAAGCTGATGTTACCAGCACCTACCACCCAATGAGAGTTGCCCAGAATGGTACTAACATGAGGGAAAACATTCCTCCAAACATGAGAGCTTAAATCAGAAAGAAATAGGCTTAGACACCACATCCAATGGATGACCCTATTTAGATCTCATAAACTTGCCCCAGAGAAACTGACCAACAACATAAGCCCCCGCAAGTTTGGCATGCAAAGCTTTCCTGTCTAATACCAACCCACCCTAAAGGATAGGATAGATTACAACTATAAAATAAAGGCTGTCTTCGATCAAGCTCTTAGCTTTCATCGTGAGTGAGAGAGGAATTGAGGCTGATTCAACTCAAGCAGCTTGCACATGATTGTCTTGTGTAGTGTGTGATATCTTTCCTTTGTTAAGTGGAAGTGGGAACTATATAAGATCTATTATCCATCCCTTTCTTGGGCACAGTCAAAGACCTTGCAACTAAGGGCTTCAACCGATGCCTTCAAGCTCACCTAACTTGGTTCTAGTGTTGTGACTGGCACTCTACCAAATCCATCAATTCTTGGATTGGTTGCTTCTGAGAGAGCTGCTCTTCCRACTGCTCGTATTCATCCCTTCCCCATGAGGGTAATCAGCCCCTTGCTTTCATTTGAATATTGGCCCTCGCGCATCACGGCTAGATTTGAGTCACTCATAGCTAGGGCTTTCTATTTCATCAGGACGGCTTCTCCTCTACTGAGCTCATCGCCCCTTTCTATCAGCTTCCGCTACCTGATGAGGTTTTACGGGCTCCTTTGACCGGTCTGAGGCTTTACCTCACCCTATCTCGCTTACTCGTTGTGGTTTACCACAGAATAAACCTGCTTTTCATCATAAGATGATGAGGGGTCGCTCCTGGAGTTGCTAGTGAGTCCGAGTGAAAGAGTCAACTGCTTGCCCCTTGCGCTTTACCGGTTTGGAATGAGAGCCTTCATGTCAGCCTTCTCACCCATGGAATCCCTCTTATCTTATAGTTCTCTATGTAGCTGCATTCTAACACCTTTAGGCTCTTCGGTATTCCTTCGTGACTGAGGCGGCAAGTCGCTTTCTTGCCCTATTCTGGATAGAACTGGAGCCGGCTTTGCTTAATAAGTTAAGCTACATCTCTCTTTCTGGCGCAAAGAATGCCTACTGACAGCAGCTTCCAATGGCAAAAGAAGTACTCTCCTTTGGTCCTCGGGCTAGTTCATCTATTTATCTATCAACTCAGCAAAGTGGCTGCGATCGTCCGGGTAGATCCTACCCTTTTCTTTGCTAGTAAATACCGAACTTGACTGAGGTAGCACAATCGCTTTCAATGAAAATTTTTCTTTCAAAATCCGCCCACTTCAAGCTGTCCAATATAGATAGGAGATCCACTTCAATTTCTCTCCTCTCCCACCTYTCCAGCTTGGGAATAGTTCTTTCTACTGGATATATATCTGTACAATGCCAGTTCAAGCTACCTTCTGGATGGAGCAAGAAAAGGTATTCAAATCACTATCTTAAAATACCGTATATAAGAGAAAGAGTGGCTCGTGCATCTTTTCTTAGACAAGTCTAGTAGGCAAGGGAATTGTTATAGCAAGCATGAGCAGGAATGAGCAATGACTTGAGTTTCGTTCTGGAGTTTGAGCGTTGAAAGTGAGTTCGAGCGGGGGTAGCATTCCAGTCTTAAGCAAAGCCGTTCTGCCCGGCCATATGTCCTGTTCAGTCAGTCGTCAAGCTAGGCAGAAAAGTCTTTCATCGTAGAAYAGGGCTATGCGTAGCTAGCTTTAAGGTATGGTCTTCGTTACTTTATCAAGAAAGTCCCGACTGTCCCTGTTAAGCATTACTTCTCTTTTTTTGGTGCTCCCGCCTTCCTAGCCTTATGGACAGGAGTCCTCTTGCCTAGTTCTGAAACTCTTCCTGCAGCCTTGCCCTTATTGCCCTGCCTACCTAGGCAGGCATACCCCGGAACCAATTCATCTGATCGGCCCGCTTTGCTAATCCGTGGACCAAGGGATGTAGGCCTAGGAAAACTCGGGAACATGAAGTTGGAATCGCTAGTAATCGCTAGTTCATATGTCTTGATAAATTGGTATGAACTAAAACCGATTGTTTTCTGTTTGATTTTATAGAGTTTCCCTTCTATTAGGTATATTTGGCAAGGTCATACGACGAAAGTTTTCTATTTGATTTCATAACGCTCCTCTCGACAATTCACAAGACATAAATCAGGTCGACCATCCATGTGTTAGTTGCTTTCTTGAAAGCTTATGCTTCTTATGATTCCTGTATTGATGCGCTCTCGATCCATCGTTCCTCTACCAATTCGAATATCCTTTAATATATTACAATTTCCTTGGCTGGTCAATCGTCTCATAGGGGTATCATGTCCTATAAAGATTTGTGTTATCGAGTATGGTCGTTTACTGGATAAAGGCAGCAGTGATGGGGGATCATTTGTGCTTTTTTGCTCTACTCTTTATCTTTTGATTAAATATAATGCTTTTGTGATCCAAAATGTAATTTTGATTAAAGGGCTGTTTTTCTTGCTTGATTTCCAGATTCAAGACTCGATTCAAGGTTCCATTTTGACTTACACATGCTTTGTTCTTGACTTACACGTCTTTTGTCATTTTGATTTACACATCAGTTTTTGTGAGACTTAGTTTGTCTTCAAAGATTGATTGCAAAGTTTTGTTCTTTCTTGATTTCCAGATTGAAAAGTTTTGTTTGCTCATTTGCAGATTGATCACATGCTAACATTGAAGAAGGCAGCTCATTTGCATTTGATCTCAGATTACTTATTTAGATGATCACTGTATCTCCTTAAAAGGTTGTATGCATCAAGTTGTAACAAATGTTCACTTGGAAACTGGAAAACAGAATATATTTACATTCATGACTTAATGAAAACAACAAAAACAGACATGGAACTACTTTACACAATGTTCACTTGGTTCTCTTTCACACAGCCATGATCTCCAACAACTGTTCACTTCCTGCCTTAGACACGCAGCCATGATATAGGATCCTCTTCGTATCAAAGTTTTACTGTTGCAGCCATGATATAGGATCCTCTTCGTATCAAAGTTTACTGTTGCAGCATATGTTCTATAACTTCACACAGTAAGTAAATATAGTAAGGTTTCAGGTCCATCAATAGATAAAGGGTTGTGTGTTTTCATGAGTAGCAACTTCATATCCATATAGCTTATGTTCTATAACTTCACACATGACTCATAAACTCAACAGTGCTGCACTTCATTTTTGAGTCACAGGCTGTAGATAATGACCTCAAGAGAAGGATGTAACCCAACATTTATGTTATGACCTCTCAGACAAATAACTAGTGCTAACTGCTAAGCAGGCAGAATGATCATATTTGACACTAAGAATCAATTTGCTCCTATAAAACTTGTGGCGCATATACGCACTTCTACTACTTATCACATGACAAGAAATAGAAATATACTATCCAAGAAATAGAATTATACTATTCAAGATAGTCATTTGGACCAAGTTTGACGCACTGAACGGAATCATGAGATCAGGTTGGATGGTCGAACCTTTTATGAAACATAACATTTTTTAGTCAGACCAGATATGATACGTTAGAGTCCTTTTTAGGACATGATAAAGTTTGGAAAAGTCCAAATCGGATGAAGACTGGTCCAGGTTTTTTTTCCCTCTTAAAATTCGTTAGTTTCTTTTTTGCCCTTTTATCTTTTCTTTAATGCACTGGACTGGACAATTTTTGGAGACAAAGACCATTGGTTTCTTGGATAGGATCAGAGCGGTTGTGGACCAGGCTAGATCACGAGTCCAGGTTAGTGTTTAGCTAGCCAAGTCTGGAACGGTCCTGGTTATTTGGGACCGCAGTGACTAGAATTCTTTCAAAACAAATGTGACTAGATACCTGCAGTTTGAAAAAACTGTAACCTTGATCTTGAAACTTGCAGTATTTTGTTTGTGTTTCATGGGGCCACATTTATCTGAAAATTAGAACCAAAACTAAACAAAATCAATCATATCCAACAATTAATAGGTTGACTCCATATGAACCAACCTTTCTTTAACCTCATGTCTACAGACATGAATAAATCTGAGTTGAATATGAATATGGAAAACAGAACATATTTACATTCATGACTTAAACCACTTAGATAAAATTGAAATTTTTATTAAAATAACAGAATGTTTACAACCTAAGGTGGGACTCCCACCAACAAGCATGTCCACTCAACCATCAGGACAGGCCCCGGGGTTAAGATGAACTGCACTACTATACAAACCAAACCTAAAACTAAAACTAAAACCAAAACCAAAACCAAAACCAAAACCAAAAGTGAACAACAGCCATGATAAAGTTCTTCACATCCTACTCTGTTCACTTCCTGCCTTAGACACACAGCCATGATAAAGTTTACTGTTGAAAGCTGCAACCTGTTTTCCATCAAAAATACCAGATGTAAGTAAATATTACTAAGGTTTCAGGTCCATCAATAGGTAAAGGGTTGTGTGCGTTTATGAGTAGCAACTTCATATTTATATAGCTTATGTTCTATAACTTCACACGACTCATAAACTCAACAGAGCAGGTATGTTCACAACTACTTGGAAAGCTAAACAGATGGTTTTATGCATACTACTCAAATCATATAATACACAAAATCATTTCAGAGAGATGAGAAGTACCTTCATGTCTTTGAAATTCTTCCCATCCTGGACACCTTGCTCCAATGCAGTGGCTTTAAGTTATATCTTCGTGCTGCTGGCTGCTTCTCTACGACGCTTAATTCCACCCACAGGTTAACTGAAGTTGCTGTTGTGGCTTTAAGTTATATCGTCGTGCTGCTGCTTCTCAAAGTTCATTACGGAGGAGGGAATTTTTTTATTGCAATAACAGAACGTTTACAACCTAAGGTGGGACTCCCACCAACAAGCATGTCCAGCCAACCATCAGGACAGGCCCCGGGGTTATGATGAAGTGCACTACTATACAAACCAAAAACCAAAAACCAATAACCAAAACCAAAAGTGAACAATCCTTGGCTAGAAGAATACCATTCCCATTGCAACCCATCAACGATTAATAATAAAAACATTTCATGGACAGATTACTGTTGGATACAATAGAAATTATTTGATCCAAATATGATATTAAATTGATGATTCTTTTGTAACCATAATTAGCCAACCATAAGAAATGGTTTGCATTTGTAACCAGCCATGAGTTGA